GGGGACGCGGCACAACAAGAGGGGGTCATATCCTCGCTCAGCTAGGAAACAAACAACTAGTAGTAATAAATATTGCTTCTACTAGTGATAGCGGTCTTAATATGACCATTCTATGTATAAGGAATTCCTGGATTTTATGAAATCTAAAAAGGAAACGGATAATACTCCTCCAACTTATTCCACAGTTCTAGCGGATGAAGAAAGCACAGAAGTGTTTGATTTAAATGATAAGAAGGAAGTTATACTCTTTTTAAAAAATAGTGATTTACGCTAGAAACATGATCCCTGGAAATTAATGGCTAGGTATTTAGATTCAATTTGCTATACTACAATCGCGTATAAATACAGGATGCATTTTGAGATGATACTCTCAGCTGCAGTGTCAGGTGAATTCCAACATTTTTACCCTGCTAATACAAGAAAAGTTTAGAACTTTTTGAAGATAATTATAAAGAAGGTTCTCACTCCGGAAGAATGGGGAATGAGCCCCTTAAAAGAAAGGGATTATATCCATCCTGAACAGAAAATTGCAGTAAAATACAATTACTGGGATTATGTTGACAATAAGCTCTATTATATGAGAATGCTAATAAGAAGCATTCATGGTTTATAAAAATTTGTTCAAATGTCTTTACTCAGCCAATCCCAAATTGATTTTGTAAATGGTGGACTTTATATGGTCCTTTAATAAAAATTCTACCGGAACAATACAATAGTTTATATTCAGAATGGATAGGCATATCCCCAAGCTTTTAAATATGGAGCAAGATAATATCTTCTTCGAAGGGATGTTTGTTATGTACTTTTTTTTTATAGAATTTTCTATTCCATGGATTATGAAATAGAATGTAGAATTTCATAATACTTCTAAAGAATTACCATGCCTGCAACAAACATTATATACAAAGTTTTGGAGCAAGCTGATTAGCAAAGATCTTGAAGGCAAGGTTCATGGCCATGAAATTCTGGACTTAATAAATAATTTGATTAATAAATATCATGTCCTGGAAATATCAAAACCGCAAGAAGATATTCTTAGCCCATTTAAAAAATTGCTAGGAAGCTTCACAAGAAGAAGGGCATAATATCCAAATTGGAGGCTATAGCCTTCTACATGGAAGAAGTCAAGAAAGACTTAGTAAAAAATCTTGATATAGATATTGGGGATGATATCTCCATGACATCAGCAAGCCACACCAACCAGGATGATAAGGCGTGTATGGTGGGAGAAGCCCAATGTGATCATAGAACAGAAGAAGTTGATATTGATGCCCTCTTCAAGAAATTCCAAGTGCAAGTGGAGGAATCCTTCACCAAAGCCACATGCAATGGTAAGGAGAAAACGTGAATGAAGACCCCACAAAACTCAATGATAGGGGTAATACGCCAAACTACTTTAAATAAAGTAAAAGCATTTTTAATAAAGATGAGTAGACGCCGAAAGTTATGTCGGTCATGTGTTATAATAAAGAAGACCACACCTTGTTTGTCGGTCTTATTGTTATGTTATTGGCCAATATAAAAGTGTGGGCCATCCTTTTTTTTGTTTTTTTTTATGATTTAGAACCTCTATATAAGAGGATGTAAGTTTTAGTTAGGAGGCAGGTTTCAGAGAAGCCCCTTTCTCTCTATCTTTAAATATTGTAATATTTTCCTTTGTAAGTTTCCCGGAAGTTTGAATAAAAAGCTTTCAGTTTGGTTTGTACATTGACGGGTTTGGAGCTCGACTTTAGGTTCTATTCTTTTGTGTTCTTCTTTTATCTATTTCTTTATGTACTTAGCCTAAATGATAGGCTAAACTGTTGGTGTTGAACTATAACATACTAGGTTACTATAAGAAATGGTGTTTGTGTCGATTATGGAGACAGTTTGAACAGTTAGACTGAGGTCAGACATAGGTTATCCAGACAGGTTTATGAAAGGCTACCGAAGGAATCCATTGGATTACCCGTTGGCCATAGAAGGCGCAGGGCAGACCCGGATAGTAGGGAATTTCATAAATTATTGCCAGGATTTCCTATGTTTCTAAAGGTTCCTTGTAGTCTTGACCGATCGATCCGTTATTCATTTGGTATCAGAGCCATGGACTTTTAGTATCGATAGGTGTTATAGTTCAACGCATTATTTACTCCTATGAATATTATAAGAGGAAGATCTACTGTTAAAAATAGTAGAAAAGAGGAATATGATATACCGCAACATCTAGATCTACTTAATAAATGGAATATTCCTAAGATACCTCCCAAAATCATATACCAAATGGGAACCTTTGAGAATCTCGATCTCAAACAGATGGTTAAAACCACAGAGGAAACTATTACTATTAATAGTGATCATCAGTATTTACCGTTTTATGCATATTGGTTTGGTACAGGTGGCATTTAAGTCCCTCACCCTGCGTGGTCTACCTGAAAGTTTTATAGCAGCTTTACGTGATGGTAGAAATCATAACTGGAAGAAATCTCTTATAGGGACTATTCAAACTAGTCTAGTTTATGGATCAGTTTATTTCAATGCTTATCCTAATTTACAGATTTCCTTACAGGATGAGAATTCTCTTAGTTCTCTCATGCTTAATGTTAAACTTCATGGTTATGATTATATGCCTGGAATTGAAGTTATTTGCATTTGTTATAGAATTTATTATAAGCTTTTACACACTTTAAATGCTATGTGTAAAATGATTGATTTCAAAAATGAGACAATTCTTATAGAAACTAATTTTGAAAAATCTAAGGTTTTCACTTGCAGACCGATTAAGTGGAAAGAATTTGATTTTCCACAAGAATGGGTTATTGAGGGAGCAGCCCTTCCTAAAAATAATATTAATGATGAAGTTTCAGAAATTGAGATAGTTATCCCACTAACCTTTTAATTGGCCGGTAAATCCTGCTGTTATCATATCAGCAATAGTTTTATCACTATTTTTGTTCATCTTACATATATTATTGTACATGAGCATTCTATGTACGGTCGTATAGATCTGTCTATCTGTATACCCATCTATGTTCCATTCATAGATTTCTTCCCATTATAACTATTAGTTATAATATGTCCATGCTCTTCAAGGAGCACGTCTTGGGGAGTAGGTCTAGGATAGTAGTACATCCTTTGAATCGGTTTCATGGCATACTTTTATGAGATTTTATTAATCTCATCAGGAAACTCCATATTCTTGCTACTTTCTCCCTCTAAAAGGTTATTAACCTTTAAGGGCTTAAGGTTATTACCTTTAAAAGTTTTTTCTAAGAAATTCTCTAAGTCCGAGAAATCCTTCAGCTTAAAATCTTCAATATCAGGGGGAGGCTAGATGCTGGCATGAGCCACTTTACCTTTACCTTTAGAACTAGAATTAAGCTGAAAAACAAGTTTATCAACCTTGTCATGCAAAGAAATAGTATGCTCATTGAGATAGTTATCCACCAACCTTTTAATTGGCCGTTAAATCCCACTATTATCATATCAGCAATAGTTTTATTACTATTTTTGTTCGTCTTACAGATAGTACCGTACATGAGCATTCTATGTACGGTCGTATAGATCTGTCTATCTGTATACCCATCTATGTTTCATTCATAGATTTCTTTCCCATTATAACTATTAGTTATAATATGTTCATGCTCTTCAAGGAGCACATCTTGGGGAGTAGGTCTAGGATAGTAGTACATCCTTTGAATCGATTTCCTGGCATACTTTTCTGAGATTTCATTAATCAGAAACTTCATATTCTTACTACTTTTGGTATCAGGGATAACTATCTCAATCAGGAGCAAAAGGATAAAATTCTCTTAGCAGTCAAACAAGAAGATCAAGGATTGACTCAAAACGCTACCTATACTTTGGTTCTTAATATTATAGAACATTTTTCAGGAAGATGGTCTGATAATAGCGAAACCATCAGGACCTTACTCCAGAATCTCAAATGTAAGACTCTTACATCATTCAGATTCTACAAGGACGTTTTTCTTTGTAGAGTAATGGAACTATCAGAGTGTAATAGCACTCATTGAAAATTCAAATTTATTGATGGATTACCGACTCTTTTTGCTTAATCATGGCATTGATATGCTGTGTAGTAACTAAGACAGTATCATTTTCAAATAATTTTGAAAAAGCATTAAAGTTAACAATCTTATCATTTTTATTAATTTGAAAAGATTGTAAAGGAGGAAATACTGACTTATTAATTTCTCTGTTACTTAAAGTAAAGTCTCTTTGTATCATAGAGATGTAATTATGCACATGCTTACACATAAACCAAGGAACACAAGATATTATGACATTTTGTCTTGATTCAATAAGATCTTTATAAAAATCATCTTGAAAGCTCATTTGTTCATCTTTATTAAAATTTTCAAAAAACCATTTTCGGAAAGGTTTCCATTTAGAATTCTGAAATTCTTTCGAAATCTTTTCTCTTGCCGGTGATCCCGGACTAAAGTCAATAGATTTGTCAGACATCATAAAAACAGTTTATGTAGATAACCCATCTGGAAAATTCATTTCAGATTCAGTTATATCCAAATCTGAGCTAGATCTAGGAATAGGTCTGGCAATATTATCCTTATCAATTTTTATATTATCACATCTATAATTTTCTCGAATTTGAGAAGTAGAAGCTCTTGAAGGAACCTGCACAATATAATCAACAGGGGAGATATATGATGAATCCGATCTAGTCAATCTAGAAGACAAACTATGATTATCACTTCTATTATGCGATACAATAGAATTAGAAAATTTAATTTTCACGCTTACATATAAACCAAGGAACAAAAGATATTATGACATTTTGTCTTGATTCAATAAGATAATTTACTTACACAAGTACATAAGAATATTCTTAATTAAATGAATAAAGTGGATATGGACTTAAAAAAATTAAATTGATCATAAGAGAAAATCTCATGTTTCATAAATACATAACAAACTATACAACAATACATAGAGATATAGACAAGCATCTGCCATTTTGTTTTTGTTTTTGTTTTGAGAAAGAAGGCATAGACGATATTTTTCAGGTATAAAATTACAAAATATATACTAATAGAGTAATCATGGGTGATAAATCTTATTACCACATTTGCATTTCCATGCAAGAAGATAATAAGTATCATGTTGAGAATAAGAAGAAACTTTGTGTTTTCCTTGGTGAATGGGTGCAATTAGGGTAGCCATACAAGGGCTGCAGTTGAAGCATTTGTCAACACTACACCTTGGTGGCCTTGATCCTACCTTCACTCCCCAATTTGAAACCTCAACACCACCTGTACGTCAATATATCTCATTGATCGACTCACCATTTAAATTACAAATATTTGTGTACTTATAAATCATTTCGTTAAATGTAAAATGTGAGTATCAATTAAATTTAGATACCGAGAATAGTGTACTTTTAACCATGACTATTTGCAATTTGTAGACACCAATCTTCTTCTCTTTCTTCTTCATTATTTTTATGAGTAAAGCATGAGAAGAGGAAAATAATGATGGCATCAATTTTACTTTTTTTTATAAATAAAATAATTTAATGCATATTTAAAGCACTACGAGAATAATTAAGTATCATTTAATAAAATACTACTGACCTGTAATTGGAACATGACATATAAAGGCACTGATCAAGAGTCCACTGGCAATTACTACTACAATTCTCAGCTCTTGACTTGAATATTTAGTGAATGAAGCCATGAATAGCAAACACTTTCAAATTTTCATAAATCTTGTCCTATTTTTGCAGCCCTATTGAATGTTAAGAGACAGACCATTAAATATACAACAAATAATTCACTCATAAATTAGAGTGGAGCATAGAGGGTGTCCCCCTTGCATCTTGCATAATAGTGACATATTTCTACGTGACATGATATTGTTGGTTGTTTAGAAATAAATGCTCTCTTCTTGAACCTGTCTCGAGGGCCAAACATAATTGTACTCCCTCTTGTCCCTAATTACTTATCTGCTTTTAAATTGATACACTTATTAAGAAAATAATATTTGACATAGGGAGTTTATCATTTTACTCCTAATTATGATGTGAATGAATTAAAAACTTAAGATTTTCAAAAAGTTTTTCCTTTGTCAAAGTAATTAATTGAGGATATAAATAAGTAAAAAATTATCCTTTCTTAATTTGTCAAAATAGACAAATAACTAGGGACAATAAAAATGAACAAATAATTAGGGAGAGAAGGAAGGAGTATATATTACTCCATTTGTCCAATAATAGTCAACTTATTACTACCGGTATTTTGACCTCCATTAATTCCTTCTCCTAAAGTAAGAGAAAGAGAATGTATGCAATAGGCTTAAGACTAGAGAGGGCCTACAATTTATCACGGTTGGTCTAAATATTATGGATTATATCACTGCATTTATGATTGAAAGAAATTATTTTTCTGGATGTCACACTCCATTAATGTGTTTTATTATCTTCATATATGAGATTTTAAAAGAGACTTAAAAGATGAATAAGTAAAAAGAAGAAGAAAAAAAATCCATATTAGATACACTGTAGTAAAAATCATAATTGTTAATTTACTTTTCTTTGTAAAATAATTCAACCTTGATTTAGAATATCTACTATATACTGTAAAAAATATTTTAAAATGTTTAACCCAGAACAACACAATTTATTATATTTTGAAAATGATTGTGTCATGATAATGATGAACATGATAAAATTTAACTATGAAAAATATAGTTATAAGTAAATTTAAAGTTATGTGCTTTATCATTATTGTGTTAATCTTTCTGCAATCTAGTCAATTATGATTCAAGCAAGTCTTTATTCTCAACACATCTTCAATGTATGTTGCATACAAAAAAGCCTTAGATATCCATGCAATGTATGTATAATCTAATAAAAACTTGACAATTTTTTTTATTGTAATTGAGTCATACCGTAACTAATTAAATTAAATCATACTCATCAAAATCGATCTCTTCACAAGAATGGAACGACACATATGCATGCTCAAAACATTGCTTACTCTACGCAAGAATGTTGGTGACTTCTTTGTCCTGCCTTACCATTGCAATTTTGCAATAAATAGTAAAATAATCCTTGTAATTGAATCTAACTATTTATGAATATTTAAAGATAAAGTGTACACGAACAGTTGAGCAGTTTTAGAAACCACTTTTAAATTCAAATAAAAAAAGTAACCAAATTGCCATGTTGTATTCTTTTTTCTTCTTCTTCTTTTTTTAACGTGGGTTAATTTTATTTTATTTTTAAAATTGTCCGTGTTTTTCATCTATTTTGCAATTTTATTTTTACTTTCAAATTTTCCTATGGTTTACCGTATAAAAGTTTTAAATTATTTTTAAAAAAAATTAAAAATAAAACAGTTTTCCATTTACATGGGATTAATATTTAAATTGTTTTAAAATTATTTATATTGAATTATTTTAATTTTATTTTAATTATTAAAAAATATTTTTACTTTTAAATCCATATTAGATACACTGTAGTAAAAATCATAATTGTTAATTTACTTTTCTTTGTAAAATAATTCAACCTTGATTTAGAATATCTACTATATACTATAAAAAATATTTTAAAATGTTTAACCCTGAACAACACAATTTATTATATTTTGAAAATGATTGTGTCATGATAATGATGAACATGATAAAATTTAACTATGAAAAATATAATTATAAGTAAATTTAAAGTTATGTGCTTTATCATTATTGTGTTAATCTTTCTGCAATCTAGTCAATTATGATTCAAGCAAGTCTTTATTCTCAACACATCTTCAAATGTATGTTGCATACAAAAAAGCCTTAAATATCCATGCAATGTATGCATAATCTAATAAAAGCTTGACAATTTTTTTATTGTAATTGAGTCATACCGTAACTAATTAAATTAAATCATACTCATCAAAATCGATCTCTTCACAAGAATGGAACGACACATATGCATGCTCAAAACATTGCTTACTCTACGCAAGAATGTTGGTGACTTCTTTGTCCTGCCTTACCATTGCAATTTTGCAATAAATAGTAAAATAATCCTTGTAATTGAATCTAACTATTTATGAATATTTAAAGATAAAGTGTACACGAACAGTTGAGCAGTTTTAGAAACCACTTTTAAATTCAAATAAAAAAGTAACCAAATTGCCATGTTGTATTCTTTTTTCTTCTTCTTCTTTTTTAACGTGGGTTAATTTTATTTTATTTTTAAAATTGTCCGTGTTTTTCATCTATTTTGCAATTTTATTTTTACTTTCAAATTTTCCTATGGTTTACCGTATAAAAGTTTTAAATTATTTTTAAAAAAAATTAAAAATAAAACAGTTTTCAATTTACATGGGATTAATATTTAAATTGTTTTAAAATTATTTATATTGAATTATTTTAATTTTCATTTTAATTATTAAAAAATATTTTTACTTTTAAATCCATATTAGATACACTGTAGTAAAAATCATAATTGTTAATTTACTTTTCTTTGTAAAATAATTCAACCTTGATTTAGAATATCTACTATATACTATAAAAAATATTTTAAAATGTTTAACCCTGAACAACACAATTTATTATATTTTGAAAATGATTGTGTCATGATAATGATGAACATGATAAAATTTAACTATGAAAAATATAATTATAAGTAAATTTAAAGTTATGTGCTTTATCATTATTGTGTTAATCTTTCTGCAATCTAGTCAATTATGATTCAAGCAAGTCTTTATTCTCAACACATCTTCAAATGTATGTTGCATACAAAAAAGCCTTAAATATCCATGCAATGTATGTATAATCTAATAAAAGCTTGACAATTTTTTTATTGTAATTGAGTCATACCGTAACTAATTAAATTAAATCATACTCATCAAAATCGATCTCTTCACAAGAATGGAACGACACATATGCATGCTCAAAACATTGCTTACTCTACGCAAGAATGTTGGTGACTTCTTTGTCCTGCCTTACCATTGCAATTTTGCAATAAATAGTAAAATAATCCTTGTAATTGAATCTAACTATTTATGAATATTTAAAGATAAAGTGTACACGAACAGTTGAGCAGTTTTAGAAACCACTTTTAAATTCAAATAAAAAAAGTAACCAAATTGCCATGTTGTATTCTTTTTTCTTCTTCTTCTTTTTTTAACGTGGGTTAATTTTATTTTATTTTTAAAATTGTCCGTGTTTTTCATCTATTTTGCAATTTTATTTTTACTTTCAAATTTTCCTATGGTTTACCGTATAAAAGTTTTAAATTATTTTTTTAAAAAAATTAAAAATAAAACAGTTTTCCATTTACATGGGATTAATATTTAAATTGTTTTAAAATTATTTATATTGAATTATTTTAATTTTCATTTTAATTATTAAAAATATTTTTACTTTTAAATCCATATTAGATACACTGTAGTAAAAATCATAATTGTTAATTTACTTTTCTTTGTAAAATAATTCAACCTTGATTTAGAATATCTACTATATACTATAAAAAATATTTTAAAATGTTTAACCCTGAACAACACAATTTATTATATTTTGAAAATGATTGTGTCATGATAATGATGAACATGATAAAATTTAACTATGAAAAATATAATTATAAGTAAATTTAAAGTTATGTGCTTTATCATTATTGTGTTAATCTTTCTGCAATCTAGTCAATTATGATTCAAGCAAGTCTTTATTCTCAACACATCTTCAAATGTATGTTGCATACAAAAAGCCTTAAATATCCATGCAATGTATGCATAATCTAATAAAAGCTTGACAATTTTTTTATTGTAATTGAGTCATACCGTAACTAATTAAATTAAATCATACTCATCAAAATCGATCTCTTCACAAGAATGGAACGACACATATGCATGCTCAAAACATTGCTTACTCTACGCAAGAATGTTGGTGACTTCTTTGTCCTGCCTTACCATTGCAATTTTGCAATAAATAGTAAAATAATCCTTGTAATTGAATCTAACTATTTATGAATATTTAAAGATAAAGTGTACACGAACAGTTGAGCAGTTTTAGAAACCACTTTTAAATTCAAATAAAAAAAGTAACCAAATTGCCATGTTGTATTCTTTTTTCTTCTTCTTCTTTTTTTAACGTGGGTTAATTTTATTTTATTTTTAAAATTGTCCGTGTTTTTCATCTATTTTGCAATTTTATTTTTACTTTCAAATTTTCCTATGGTTTACCGTATAAAAGTTTTAAATTATTTTTTAAAAAAAATTAAAAATAAAACAGTTTTCCATTTACATGGGATTAATATTTAAATTGTTTTAAAATTATTTATATTGAATTATTTTAATTTTCATTTTAATTATTAAAAAATATTTTTACTTTTAAATCCATATTAGATACACTCTAGTAAAAATCATAATTGTTAATTTAATTTTCTTTGTAAAATAATTCAACCTTGATTTAGAATATCTACTATATACTATAAAAAATATTTTAAAATGTTTAACCCTGAACAACACAATTTATTATATTTTGAAAATGATTGTGTCATGATAATGATGAACATGATAAAATTTAACTATGAAAAATATAATTATAAGTAAATTTAAAGTTATGTGCTTTATCATTATTGTGTTAATCTTTCTGCAATCTAGTCAATTATGATTCAAGCAAGTCTTTATTCTCAACACATCTTCAAATGTATGTTGCATACAAAAAAGCCTTAAATATCCATGCAATGTATG